CCACCAACAAAGAGAACACAACGATCAGTCTGAGTCCCACACGCAATGTGAACACAGGGATCAGTCTGAGTCTCACAATCGGAACACTGCGAACACAAAGAGTTGCCAGACAGCATCCATATCAGTCAGTGTTCCACAAGTGTCCTCAACCCATTCCTCTTCCTCAGAATCGTCCGAGCAAAAAATTCCGATAATATCTGGGCACGCAAATGCCCGCGCGAACAAGGCACGACGAATCTGCCCCCGAGCCGTGGACCACAAGCGATATCTGGTACGTTTCGCCCGCAGACGGCGCAACTTCGATTGAGAAACTTTGACACCATGCCCATACAGCTGGTCTCGCTCACGCAGGCGAGACTCACCTCCGTACGACGGGCGAACACGGCAATATAGATCACTAACACACACTTCGACCGTAGACAAACGAGCAGACAAACAAACGAGAAACTCGGAGGTAAACAACGCCGTATCTGTCCAATCTGAAGCAACAAAATCAGCGCCTGACAACTCAGAAACAAAAGCCATATATAAAACGTGGACTCGCTCAACAAGAAGAAGGCAAATCACAAGCAATAACAAGATGGACAGTTGAGTACGATACAAAAACCTGTCCGCACAATGCGGCTCGAGGAGGCCCCCAACGGGCCAGGTCGCCGCTGAGCTCCCCGAAGAGGGACAGCAGCAACCTGGTCACCGCCGGGAACCTCGTAGAGCTCCTTCCACGCGTGAGAGTGCTCAGAGTCGAAGAAGAGAGCTTCTGGAGGCATTGCTCAAAAAATTGAACATTCATATTTTTCATGTCGACATAAAGTTCGTTCCGCCAAGTGTTTTGATAGTCAAAGAGCGCCTACAGAGCTCATATTAAGACACAGAGGCCCTCACAGTCGTCTACAGGTGCGAAAAATCTGTTTCTCAAAATGAATAATCAAATATTTTTCCAATTTGCAAAACCACCGAAAAGTTATCACTTTGTCCTTTCTGGTCGGCACGACCAACTAGCTACAACCCGCGCCGGAATTCCTCTAGCTCGTCGATGCCGAAGAGCTCTACGACGTACATCTTTGAAATCCTAGCAAACCCGACCCAAAGTTAACTGAGAGCCCGGCGGTAGACCGTCAACGAGGTTACCGCCAGCAGCCTCGTAGAGCTCTTTTCTCGCACCATGCTGCTCGAACAAGCCGGCGGTAAACCGTCAACCAGGTTACCGCCGGCTCTGGGATCGCAGAATCCTGTTTAGATCCGACAAGAAAGTTCGAGCAGACATGAGCTTAGAAAATCGGACATATTCTATAACAATTCGAAAAATGCATTTCTACAACCCATTGTTCCACCGAGTTTTTTGGCAGTAATATTCCAGCTAAGAACCTGCAAATTCGAGAGGCGAACGCGGCACAATTCACTCTACGTTACAGAAATAATGGTTTGACAAACGAATTTCAAAATCATATTCGAAAAACCGATCCCAGGTCATCACATTGTCCGACTGGGCCAATTTGGCTGGGAGCCGGTGGTAAACCATGAACCAGGTTACCGCCGGAGTTCGAAGAAAACAGTAGAAAAGGATTCTCAATGCCAGCATGAATCTTGAAGAAATGTTGTTTTCGGTCGTACAGAATGTTCGTTTCCCCTGGTCTCTTAATCGAATTATGCAGCTGGGAAGATTTCACCATCGAAAAGATCATAATTAACTGCGTATATTCGAATTTGCAAACGAATATCTCTCGCCATCTTTTAAAAAAACGACCCCAGTCACCACATTGTCCGCCCGGGCCGGGTTCGGGAACAAGCTGCACCCTGCGCCGGAATTCTTCCAGCTGCATCCCGCGCCGGAATTCCAATAGCTCATCGATGCCAAAGAGCTTCAGCAGATACACTTGCTCCATCATCAAGCCCTTCTCGGGCTCTCGGGATCCCCTGCACGCTTCTGAAGCGCTGCCAGGCACGCTTTCACGCGTGCCTTCATGCGTGCAGGCACGCATGGCCGCGTGCCCAAAGCGCTCTCGCACGGGCTGCGAGGTTTTACAGGCTGCTGCAATCTGGACCGGCCAAAATGGGCTGCTGGCAGACACCACTGTCCGGCTTCTAACTTGGTTTGCCAGGAGCTCTCCCGGACGGCTGCAGAGTTCAACAGACCCCTGATCCTGGAACGGCGGAAATGGGCTGCTGGCAGGCATACGGCGTCCGGCTTCTAATTATTCGTAGAGCTATTGAACATCTATATGATGATATGAAGGCAGTTTTCTGCCGTGTTCGTCTGTCGAATCTAAGGCTAGCTGGAATATTACTATCGAAACCGTGGAGGGACAGTAGCTGTCAGAATGCATGAATGATTATAGAACATGGCCGATCTTCGTAGCGTCCACTCGGTAGCGTCCACTTCATAGCATCCAAAACCTCGGAGACGGAAAAATTTCGTAGCGCGTCCAAAACCCGGAGCAAAGGGACCTCGGGACGGAACTTGGTAGCAGAGACTCTCGGGGCGGATCTAGTTTCGGCAGCAGACAGAGTTCGGAGCTCTGGATTCGGAAGGCGGACGCGCCTGATGTCTCCGAATCGATTGCAGCTATGACCAGCCATGCGGCCCCCCTACAGGCAATTTGAGACCTCTCGGATGCAACAGCCGAACGCCTCCAATGCTTCTAGATTGTCTTCTTTACGAGCTCTGTAGCTCTCCTACAGCCCGAGTTACGTGCGTAAATCGACAGCACCTCTCAAGATGGCTCGAACAATACGAATAGTTTGGCAAACCTAGTTCGAGTATCAGACCGAGTTCAGACCTCTGCATGCAACAGGCGGACGCGTCTGATGTCTCTGAATCGATCCCTGTGATTACCAACCCTGCAGCTCCCCTGCAGCCGAGTTTAGTGCAGGAAACCGACAGCACCTCTCAGGATGACTCGAACAATACGAATAGTTTCGCGGACCTGGTTCGGGCAACAGACCGAGTCCGGCTCTGGATTCCGCAGGCGAACGCGCCTGATGTCTCCGAATCGATTCCAGTGATTACCAGCCATGCAGCCCCCCTACAGCTCGAGGTAAGTGCAGAGAACCGACAGCATCTCTCAAGATGGATCGCACAATACGAATAGTTTCGCGGTTCTAGATCGGGCAGCAGACCGAGTTTAGAGCTCTGGATTCAACAGACAACGGCCACTGATGATTCCGAATCAGATTCTGTACGTATGAGCTCTGTAGTTGTCCTGTAGCTCGAGTTAAGTACAGAAACCGAGAGTGTCTGTCAAGATGACTCGAATTTTACGAATAGGTTTGCGGACCTAGCTCGGCTAGCAGAACGAGTTCAGACCTCTGGATTCAACAGGCGAACGCGCCTGACCATTCTGAATCAATTAGCTGTGCTTACCAGCTCTGTAGCTGTCCTGAAGCTCGAGTTATCTTGAGAAACCCGACACGGCGTATCAAGATGACTCGAAATGACCGATCCTGCCGGAACGCTTTTTGGCAGTAAAAGGTACCCAATCGAGCTGAGATCAAGATGGCGAGCGGGAATAGAACGAATATCACGGGAAAAAATACTAGAGCTCTAACGAATGATTGAACTGGCGCCGGCGGTGAACCGTCACCTGGTCACCGCTGGAATACTCGTAGAGCCCATTTCTCGTAAGAGTGCTCGGAGTCGAAAGAGAGAGCTTCTGGAAGCATTTCTCGAAACAAAAAAAAAAAAATGATTTTTTCGTGTCGACATGAAGATGGTTCCGCCAAGTGTTTTGATTGTAAAAGTGCGCCTGCAGAGCTCATACTAAGACAGAGAGGCCCTCATAGTTGTCTACGGGTGCGAAAAATCTGCTTTCTCAAAATGAATTGTCAAATATCTTTCAAATATTTGCAAAACCACCCAAAAGTTGTCACATTGTCCGCCTCGGCCGGGTGGGCCAACTAGCTCCACCCCGCGCCGGAATTCCTCTAGCTCATCGATGCCGAAGAGCTCTACGAGGTATTTTGAGACCGAAATTTTGAACCGACCAAAAGTGATCAAAAGGTTCGTCCAGATTTTTCTTGCCAACTAGCTCTCCAGCGCCTCTTAAGCTTCCAGCAATGGGCGCCGGCGGTAAACCGTCAACCTTTGTTACTGCCGGGGGACTCGTAGAGCTTCCTGACAGTATATAATGCGCGGCATAACTCACCACAGGTGCGACAAATCTGGGTTATCAAAATGAATTGTCAAATATCTTTCAAATATTCGCAAAACCACCCAAAAGTTGTCACATTGTCCGCCTCGGCCTGGTGGGCCAACTAGCTCCACCCCGCGCCGGAACTGGGCGCCGGCGGTAAACCGTCAACCTTGGTTTTTTTTTTGCGGTTTGCGGTCCGCCACTAGAATCCGAATCCGAATCGGCGGAGCAGTGCAACTGAGCCCCCCACCATCTTAGGTAGGTCGCAGCAGAGCGCACGCCACCTTAGCAGCAGCACTCGTCAGGGCAGCGCAGGCAGTTAGTTCACAGCAGGTTACTGTGCTACCAGGAGGCAAGCTCATCGCCTCCTCGGCCACATCGTGCCAATGGAAGCTGTGCGAGCTGGTGCAGGAGGAAGAGGAGGAGGAGGAGGAGGAGGAGATGGGAAAATCAACCTGCACGCTGGAACCCCTACCTACAACGCCAATCTGAAGCCACCACCCACCTCCACATCCTTCATTACTGACACCCCCATCGAATGCACCACGGAGAACAGTCTTACGAGTACTGAGGAACTTATCATATGCAAACCAGCGAGTAATAGTTTGGCCACCTCTGGCCTCCCACGATCCTCCACGGATACGTCTGATACAATGTCCTGTTGTCGTAAATATATGAAGTCAGAACACTGATACATGAATTGATAGCAACACGAACAGCACGGCCTGTAGCTCTCATGAGTCCAGCCAGCGGGGAGCCAAAGGGAGAGCAAGCGGGGAGCAGGGAAGCCCAAGGAGCCAAAGCGAGCCCAGGGGCAGAAACAGCGGGGGAGAGGAAGGGACAAACACAACAGAAGCATGCGTAGTCAATTCAAATAATTCCATCAAGCTCTCCGCTGCTCTGCAATTCACATAATTCCATAAAGTTGTCACAGAGGTGTTTCGCCTCTTTCACAAGAGCAGACGGCTGGGCAGCACTGTCCATAACCTGCTGAAGGTCATGTAAGACGGCTTCGATTGAATCGTGATCCCTGAAGGTTTGGAACGCATCCCAAATCCAACAGTCCCGTTCGTCCTCATCGCAGGCTCGAAATTCAGAAAGGAAATCTGGCACGTGCACCGTTGACACGACGTCGTCCGTAGCAGTCGTCCGTACAAATCTGTATTTTCTGATACGAAGATTTAGCGCCTTCTCCAGGTACAGGCGAAAATCCTCCTGAGCCACCTCCTCCTGCTCCATCTGAGCAACAGCTTCAATATGAACATTCTCCTCCTCCTCGTTCTTGCAGCCAGGGTTCGATGCCACGACGAGCGTGACATCGGATACTGCCTCCGACTCCTCCTCCGCCTCCTCAGTCACTTTCCCAAGAACAGTTCCTCGTATGTTGGCGCCTTTAGAGCTCTTGGCCGGCTTGGCGCTGCTATGATATCGTTGGCCTTTGCCTCTGCTTTTGCGGTGACCTCGTACAGGATTCGATACCTCATTGAGCGTGACGGGACGATTCAGACACCCCTGGGACGCACCTGACAAGGCGCGGCTATCGGAATCAGACTGCACGTTCGGAGAAGACTCCGCACTCGAGGGCGCCTCCAGCTCCTCCTCCGCCGCCACGGTCACTTTCCCAAGAAGAACTCCGGAAGCTCCTCCCTCCATCCCAACGACACTCTCTGTCTGACAGCCGACTTCACAATGAGAGTCCGCAACATCCATACTAGAAGAAGCCTGCACTCCAATATCTACCGAAGAGACCCGTGGGCAAACCACCATCATCTGAGAGAACTGATCGCCTCCGAATCCCTGACCAACCTCCTCCCGCATCAAACTGCAAGAAAAATTGTCCGAGAGTGTCGCAACGGCAGCTTGCTCCACCTCCAAATGATTATACCGAGTCTGCAATCCAACATCAAACACGGAATCAGCAGCCAGCACTCCAGCATTTGCCGAAGGGGCACATGGATATTTGGCTTGAAGCATACGGCAAGAAAGATTCCCCGAAACGGTCGTAATGGCAGCCTCCTCCTCCTCCAAACTGTATCTAACAACAGGTGGATCGCGCAACAAGAGATAATCTAGAACCAAATCGGCAGTCGTCCGTTCCAGCCCTGGTGGTGGGAGACACGTAGGTGGCACCAAACCTTCCAGAGGCAAACGAACAGGTGAATGCACACAGTATCCGTTTTGAACAGCCAGCGCCCGGCGCATAATGCGAGCACTTGCACTCCGTACGTGTGGCATAGCGAAAGATTGCAGAGACTGCCTCGGAAGCACCCAGCAAAACAAATCAATTGAAGACCACTCAAGGGGATCAAACGTGTCAAATGAAAGACAGTGCAATATCACTCTAGGCGACAAACGTGTGACTCCCTGACGCCGCAAACAAGTGCAGGCGGCCTGCTTGCCTCGGGAACCTTGGTTACCGCCGGGAGACTCGTAGAGCTTCCTAGCTCGACTTAAGTTGAAAAAAAACGACAGCACCTACCAACATTCCAACTTATAGTGAATATGTTTTAACCTCTGAATGCGACAAGCGGACGCGTCTGATGTCTGCGAATCGACTGCTGTCATTACTAGCCCTGCAGCCCCCTGCAGCCCGAGTTAAGTGCAGAAAACGAACAGCACCTCTCAGGATCACTCGAACAATACAATAGTTTCGCAGACCTGATTCTAGCAGACCGAGTTCCAAGCTCTGGATCCGCCTGATGTCTTCAAATCGATTCCTGCGACATCAAGCACTGTAGCCACCCTCAGCGCGAGTTGAGTAAAGAAAACCGAGAGCACTTCTCAAGATGACTCAACCAATACGAATAGTGCTGCGATTCTAGATCGGGCAACAGACCGATTTCAGAGCTCTGGATTCAACAGACAAACGCAACTGATTTTGAATCGGTTTCTGTAAATATCAGCTCCGTAGCTGTCCTACAGCTCGAGTTAAGTGCAGAAAACCAAGAGTGTCTATCAAGATGACTTGAAGAATACCAATAGGTTGGACCTAGGTCAGCTAACAGAACGAGTTCAGACCTATGGATTCAACAGGCGAACGCGCCTAACCATTCTACATCGATTAGCTGTGCTTACCAGCTCTGTAGCTGGCTTAGAGCTCGAGTTATATTCAGAAAACCGTCAGCGCGTATCAAGATGACTCGAAACGGCCGATCCCGCCACAGTGCTTTTTGATAGTAATATTCACCCGATCGAGCTAGGTTTGCCAAACTATTCGTAGAATTCGAGTCATCTTGAGAGATGCTGTCGATTTTCGCACGTAACTCGGGTAGGAGAGCTACAGAGCTCATACAGCAGACAATCCAGAAGCATGGGGGGCGTTCGGCTGTTGCATCCGAGAGGTTTGAAATTGCTTTGGTTGAAGAACTGTTTTTTCCGTGTTTTTTTCCTACATTATATGTTGTCAGGAAGCTCTACGAGTGCCCTGGCGGTAACAAAGGTTGACGGTTTGCCGCCGGCGCCCAGTTCCGGCGCGCTGGAGAGCTAGTTGGCAAGAAAATATCGACGGAACTTTTGGTGATTTTTCTTCGGTTGAAAATGAAAATTATGTTCTCAAAATTTCACAACTCGTTAGAGCTCTAGTATGTTTCCCTTGATATTATATTCGATCTTATTCCTGCTCGCCATCTTGATCTCAGCTCGAGTGTCAAACCGAGTTCAGACCTCTGCATGCGACAGGTGGACGCGTCTGATGTCTGCGAATTGGCTCCTGTGAGTACCAGCCCACCAGCCCTCCCTACAGCCCGAGTTAAGTGCAGAAAACCGACAGCACCTCTCAGGATAACTCGAACAATGCGAATATTTTCGCGGACCTAGTTGGCAGCAGACAGAGTTCGAAGCTCTGGATTCGAAAGGCGGACGCGTCTGATGTCTCCGAATCGATTCTAGTGATAACCAGCCATGCAGCTGCCCTACAGCCCGAGTGAAGTGCAGAGAATGAACAGCATCTCTCAAGATAACTCGAACAATACAAATAGCTTTTGTGATTCTAGATCGGGCAGCAGACCGAGTTCAGAGCTCTGGATTCAACAAAGAACTGTTACTCATAATTCTGAATCAGTTTCTGTACGTATCAGCTATGTACTGTCCTTTAGCTCGACTGAAGTAAGAAAACACAGAGCGTCTCGAGTTAAGTACTGTAGTTGTCCTGCAGCTCCAGTTAAGTACAGAAAACCGAGACTGTCTGTCAAGATGACTCGAATTTTACGAAAAGGTTTGCGGACCTAGCTCGGCTAGCAGAACGAGTTCAGACCTCTGGATTCAACAGGCGAACGCGCCTGATTATTCTGAATGGATTAGCTGTGCTTACCAGCTCTGTACCTGTGCTGAAGCTCGAGTTATCTTGAGAAAACCGTCACCGCGTGACAAGCTGATCCGAAACGTGCGATCCCGCCGCAGTGTTTTTTTTGACAGTAAAGGTACCCGATCGAGCTGAGATCAAGATGGTGATTGGGGATAAGATCGGATATAACGGGAAAACATAGAAGAGCTCTGAAAAATGATTGAATTCCGAGAACCGAATTTTGAACCGACCAAAAGTTATTAAATGCCGTCGACATTTTCTTGTCAACTAGCTCTCCAGCGGCCCCAAATTACTCTTGAGCTTCCAGCAATAACTTGCTAAGGGAAGCTCTACGAGAAACTGGCGCCGGCGGGGAACTGTCAACCAGGTCACCGCCGGGAACTCCTCGTAGAGCTCCTTACATCCGTGAGAAAACTCAGGATTAAAGCGAGAGCTTCTGAAATCTTTTCTACAAAAAGTTTTCGGAGTCAACATGAAGTCGGTTGCTCCAAGTGAACTGGTACTGAAATGACTCTAGAGGGCTCAGCTGCAGGGAACAAAGTTTATATGTCAATGCTCGGAGTAAAAATCTGCCAACTAGCTCCACTCCGCGCGGGAATTCCTCGAGCTCATCGTTGGCGAAGAGCTCTACGAGGTACTTGATAGCGTCCAAAACCCGGAGAGCAAAGACAACGCACACCGGAAAACCTTCCTGGCAAGCCCACGGAAGCACGCGTGAAGCTCTTCTGGCGCTCTGGGGGGCTTCCCGGCAGCACTTCCGAAGCGCTGCCAAAAACGCTCATGCGCGCAGGCACGCGTGCAAGCTTGCCGGAAGCTCCCCCGGACACGTTGCCGGGTCGAACGAGCTGCTGCGAGAATTCTGGACCGGCGGAGATGGGCTGCTGGCGGACACCACCACCGTCCAGCTTCTAATCTTAAACCCTTTAGCTCTCAGCGAGCTCTCCGGAACTTGGCAGCGTCCAAAACCCGGAGAGCGAAGAGACCCTTTGGGGACGGGAAATCTTTCCTCGAGAGGTCTGGGAAGCCCCCCTGCAGCGCTGCCGAAGCGCTGGCAAAAATAACTCGTAGAGCTTCCCTGAGCAAGTAATTCCAGGGCGCTGGAGAGCTAGTTGGCAAGAAAATCTCGACAGACCTTTTGGTGACTTTTGGTCGGTTGAAAATTTTGTTCTCGAAATTCAACCATTCGTTAGAGCTCTGGTATTTTTTCCATGATATTCGATCTTATTCCCGCTCGCCATCTTGATCTCAGCTCGATCGGGTAGCTTTTACTGACAAAAAGCGGGCAGGCGGGATCGGCCGTTTCGAGTCATCTTGATACGCAATGGTGGTTTTCTGAAGATAACTCGAGCTTCAGGACAGCTACAGAGCTGGTAAGCACAGCTAATCGATCCAGAATGATCGGGCGCGTTCGCTCGTTGAACCGAGAGGTCTCAACTCGGTCTGCTAGCCGAGCTAGGTCCGCAAACCTATTCGTATTATTCGAGTCATCGTAGCAGACACTCTGGGTTTTCTGTACTTAACTCGAGCTGTAGGGCAGCTACAGCTCATAGTCACAAAAATCGATTGGGAATAATCAGGCGCGTTCGTCTGTTGAATCGAGAGCTCTGAACTCGGCCTGCTGCCCGATATCTTGAGAAGTGCTCTTGTTTTCTGCACTTAACTGGTGCTGGGGAAGGCTACAGTGCTGCTGGTCACAGGAATCGATTTGGAGACATCAGAGGCGTCCGTCTGTCGAATCGAGAGCTCGGAACTCGGTCTGCTGCTCGAACTAGGTTCACGAAACTATTGTATTATTCGAGTCATCGTGGGAGCTGCTGTCGGTTTTCTGCACTTAACTCGGGCTGTAGGGGGGCTGCAGCGCTGGTAATCACTGGAGTCGCTTCGCAGACATCAGACGCGTCTGTTTGTCGCATTCAGAGGTCTGAACTCGGTTTGATACTCGAGCTGGGTTGCCAAACTGTTTGTTTTTTTGTTAGAGTCATCTTGAGTCTGAAATCGCTTGGGCTGAAAAACTAGTCGTTCTCTGGAATTTATTTCCACATTATATACTATCAGGAAGCTCTACATCCCCCGGCGGTAAGAAAGGTTGCCGGTTTACCGCCGGCGCCCAGTTTTTCTATGCGTGCCTGCACGCGAGCAGGCACGCGTGGAAGCTCGCCGGGGGCACTGGGCGCCGGCGGTAAACCGTCAACCTTGGTTACCGCCGGGGAACTCGTAGAGCTTCCAAGCTCGACTTAAGTTGAGAAAACCGACAGCACCTAGCAACATTCTGACTCATAGTGAATATTTTTTGACCTCTGAATGCGACAAGCGGACGCGTCTGATGTCTGCGAATCGACTCCTGTCATTACCAGCCCCGCAGCCCCCCTACAGCCCGAGGTCAGCGCAGAAAATCGACAGCATCTCTCAGGATGACTCGAACAATACAATAGTTTCGCGAACGTAGTTCGGGCAGCAGACCGAGTTCCGAGCTCTGGATTCGACAGGCGGACGCGCATGATCTCTTTCAATCGATTCATATGACAACCAGCACTGTAGCCCCCTCTCAGCGCAAGTTGAGTGAAGAAAACCGAGAGCACTTCTCAAGATGACTCGACCAATACGAATAATTTCGCGATTCTAGATCGGGCAGAAGACCGAGTTCAGAGCTCTGGATTCGATAGAGAAACGTAACTGACGATTCTGAATCATTTTCTGTAAATATCAGCTCTGTAGCTGTCTTACAGCTCGAGTTAAGTACAGAAAACCGAGAGTTTCTGTCAAGATGACTCGAATAATACGAATAGGTTTGCGGACCTAGCTCGGCTCACAGACCGAGTTCAGACCTCTGGATTCAACAGGCGAACGCGCCTGATCATTCTGCATCGATTAGCTGTGCTTACCAGCTCTGTAGATGTCCTAAAGCTGGAGTTATGTTGAGAAAACCGTCAGC